CTTTTCCGGTTCCCATCCCGGGGGGGGGGCTCCCTGGCCCTCGGGGGTGGTCCCGTCCCGCGTTAGACACCGCGCGGACGCCGGACCCCGAGGAGGACGGGACCGACGGCCCTCCCCCCCCCCCCCCCCGCGCGCATCTCTCTCTCTCGCCTCGCCTCGCCTCGCAGATCCCGAGGGCCTCTTCCCGGACGTGGACGAGGCGTCCGCGTCGATGCTCATCGACCGCAAGCTCAAGGCGCAGGAGATCGACGCGCAAAAGAAGGAGGAAGAGGAGGCGAAGAAGGAGTGGGAGAAGGCCAGGGCGGAGCTCGAGGCGGCGCGCGAGGCGCGGACGCAGCCGACGACGCACGACGACCTCGTGGCGTACTTCTTCGCGACGGAGTTCAACGAGATGGAGTACGAGATCGTGAAGCAACGGCCCAAGGCGCGTTCTATCTAACACTGGTCCCCATACGACCCCGTTGGCGTGGTGAACGCGATTCCTGAAGGACTTTTCCCGGCGTGTCTCTCCGCCCACACCACGGTTTCAATCCCCGCCCTCGACGCCTTTCGACTCCATCTGACGCCTTTGAACTCCGCCCCGACGTCGCTTTGAACGATTTTCCCTCGACCCCAGCTCACGGATGAATTTTTCGAGCGCCTCGCGGAGAAGCGAAACGCGGAGACGGACGAGGACGAGAAAGGGAAGCTCGACGCGCTGTACGCGGTGACGAGCGACTTCGTCGGGTTCGTGGATCAGACCACGCGAGCGATGCTGAGCCCGCTGGACCGAATGAAGAAGCTCCTCACCGCGCCGGATAAGCGCGCGATGATCTTGGAGATGGTGGACAAAGGCGCGTCCCATCTCATCGCGCCGACTGGTCCCCGTACGACCGCGTCGGCGTGGTGAACGCCGATCCTTAAGGACTTTTCCACCCGGCGTCTCTCTCCGCACATGGTCCCTCGCTTTCCATCCATCCCCGCCATCGATGCCTTTCAACTCCAACCGACGCCTTTCGACTCCACCCCGACCCTCCCTCTTCAGACGAGCTCGACCTGAACCTCATGGCGCTTCTGAAGACGAACATCAACACCGCGCGCGCGGGCGGGCAGGAGGACGCCGCGATGTTCATGGAGAAGATTTACGCCGCCGCCGCGAAGTTTGTGGACGGCGCGTGAGCGACGCGACGCGACGCGAGCGAGGAGGGACTCGACGCCTCGACGATTTATTTTTATAATCCTTTTTTTCGATTTCGATCATCCGTCTCGCGTCGTCGTCTCGTCGTCGGGGGCTCGCGCGCGTCGCGTCGCGGACGGACGCGCTCGACCGACGCCCTCCTCCTCCTCCTCGTCCTCCCCCGAAACCCGCCCTGGTTCGCCCGCGCCGGCCGCGGGTCCGAACCCGCGTCCGCGTCCGCGCCGGCGTCCGAGCGCGCAACCATCCAGCCGCCGTCGTCGCCTGTGTTATTAACGTCAAAACCTTTCACCCGAACACCGCCTGCGAGACGCTCGACAGCGCGGAGTTCACCGTGAGCAACACGACCGCGCTGCCGGTCACGATCGCGATGACGATCCCGGTCGTCTTCAGCGCGCCGATCGGCGTCGGCCACTCTATCCGTCCGATCTCTTCGAACGCGCCGACGACGATGTTGTCGCTCGCGTCGCCGGGCTTGGTCCCCGACGGCGGGTTTCTCAGCGCCGCGATCTGGTCGCCGAGCGCGCGCGCCGAGTCCTCCTCTCCTCCTCCTCCGCCGGCGTTCTCCGGGGACGGCGGCGCGTCGGGCGGGACGTCGCCGACGGGGGAGTCCATCTCCGTCGGGGTCTCCTTCCGCGGGCTCTGCTCCGCGCGCGCGATCGTGAGGCGTCGTCGTCGTCGTCGCGCGAGCGCGACGGGGGCGACCGCGGCGGCCGCGCGGGAGGGAGGACGGGCGATTCCTTCTCCTCCTCCTCCTCCGCGCGTCGACGAGGCGCGGGGTTCGCTCGCCGCGCGCGATGTGCACGCGACGCGCGCAATCGAAGACGTCGTCGAGGCCATCGCGGTGCGTTTCTCGAGGCGCGCGCCTCGGACGCCGCGCGAGCGGAGAGTGGATAGGCAAAAGCGAGCGATGACGCGACGACGGGAAGAGTACAGTACACTAAGTTGACTTACCTTCGAAGTGAAAGTACATATTACTCGTACGAAAGTACGAAAGGAAAGTATTTTCGTACGAAAGTACAAGTATAGACGAAAGTACTTTCGTACGAACTTTCGTACTCTAGCTAATCATCTCATCGTGACCTTAAAACCCCTCGAATAGCTTCTGCTCATTGTCCGTGAGGACGCAAGGCTCGGTCAAGCACGGGACCTCGCACGGCTCAGTGATGTCCTCAGGCCCAACGTCCGCGTCCGGCTCTATCTCCGACGGAAGAATAATGTCTACCCTCTGCTCTAACACCGCGGTCCAGCTGAACCCTTTGAAGAACGGGTGCGATCGAATGGCCTGTATCCCCTTCGCGCACATGCCGATGCGCTCGCCCTCCTCCTGCCGTAACAGCTGCCGTATAAAGTCCTGAGCGTGAGGATTCATTGTGTTCGGAAACGTCCGGTGCTTCCCCTCGGTGATGCGCCGGTACAGCTCGCTGTGCGTCTGCCCATAAAACGGCGGGTATCCGGCCATCATTTCGAAGAGTAAAATCCCCAAGGCCCAAAAGTCTGCGGCTCGGTTGCATCCGTGGCCCCGCAACGCCTCTGGAGAGAGGTAGTCCGGCGTCCCGCAGACGGTGTACGCGCGCTCGCCCGGCTTCAACGCCTTCGCGAACCCGAAGTCCGTCAGCCGCAGGTACCCGTCTTCGCGCACGAGCAAGTTCTCCGGCTTCAAGTCGCGATACACGAAGCCTTTGTGATGGACGTGTTCGAGCGCTAAGACGACCTGCACGAAGTACGCCCTAGTTTGAAACAGCGACAACGAGCCGACCTCGTGAAGCAAGAAGAATAAATCCTTCCCCGCGGCGTATTCCATCACGATACAAAGCGCGCTCGGAGTCTGGAACGACTCGGTCATCGTCGCGATGAACGGGTGTCGACACACGGCTTTCATGATCGAGCTCTCTCGCACGACGTGCTCCGTCTCGTTGATGTCGAGAATCTTCGCCTTGCTCATGACCTTCACCGCGACCGCGACGTATGGCTTCTCCTTGTCCTGCACGCCCGCCTTGTTCACGTTCGGCTTCCAGCACTTGTACACCGAGCCGATTAACCCGTCGCCGAGCGGTTTCGCGAACGCGTACCCCTCGAAAGGGTCCTTCGGGTCCTTCGCCACCGGATCCGCTCGGTACGCGTCGGACTGTGGGGTCGTCGCCGAGCCCTGGGACGACGCCGTCGCTTTCTTCGCCTTGAGCGCACTCTTCGACGCGAAACGTCTCTTAAACGAGGAGATCATCGAGCTCTTCTTTTTTTTCACCTCCGACGTCGTCGCGAACTCCGACACCGCGTCGTCGCACCGCTTCCCGTTCGACGGGACATTATCGCACGTCCGCGACGGCGTCTCGGGTTCCGCGAACCGCGATTTCGCTCTTCCGTATCCAACACCGGGCGTTGACGCCGCGACGGAGGACGGCGACTCGCACTCGCTCTCGCTGCCGCTGCCGCCGTCGTCGTACGCGAGGTCCGCGACGTTCAAACGTCTCGGGCTCTGCAGTTCCATACAAAAAAAGTGCATCGGTCAGTTGAAAGGGGACGCGATCAAATGTTGAAAGCGATGGATGGGTGAAAAACGTGTGTATATCTTATAGAACACACCTGCATCGGGCTCAGGCTCGGGCTCGGGTTCGGGCTCAGGTTCGGGCTCGATGCCTGCGATCTGGCGAGGGCGGTCAAGTCCAGGCACGACATCGAGGCCAACTTCGGACCGTCCGTAAGACGCAAACTCTCGGCGGACTCGATGCGGGTCAGCGACGCTTTCACTTTCGTCAACCCGGTCTGCCAGTTCCTCTTCGCCTCCTTCCGCGATTTCTCGCACCGGAACGACAGCAACGAATCGAAACTTTCCCCCCACAAGCTTTCGAGAAGTCCCCTCGTCACGAGCAGCAACACCGCGTGCGTCTTGCACACGTACGAGTGTCCGAGCCTATCTTCGAGTAATTTTTCGCTCTCCGCCCGCGCGTACATCTCCGGAGACATCAAGAAATCGTTCCCGAACGTGTCCCCGCCTCTCAGCGTCTTTTTCTTCTCCTTGCTATGCAGCGGGACAACGTCGACCTCGCCTTCTAAGACGACGTGCAACGCTTTGGACATCGTTCCAAACTCGAGCTTCGTCCCGGGAGGCATCGCCACGGACGCGCTCCACAACGCGTTCAATAACAACTCCTTCTTTCGCGTCGACACCGCGCGAAACGTCGAGACGATGTTCAAGACGTTGTTGCAGAGCCGACGTTGACGGTGAATGCGCGTTCGCACGATGCGCTTGAACGTCTCGCAGTTGATCGCGAACGCCGTCGTCTCGACTGGCGCTCCGTTTTCGTCCACGCTTCGAATCGCAGAGTGCGTCTTGTACGCGTGATGCGTCGCCACTTCGCCGACGAGATCGCCGCGTCTCAACACCAGCCTCGGGGAGTTGTGCGCGAGCGTCTGGGAGAACGCGTCTCGAACGAACCCGCCGCTCGTGATGAGGTACGTGTTCGGGATGGCGTCCCCGGCGCGAAACGCGATCTCTCCCGGCGCCCATCGCACGATCCTCAGCTCGTCCAGGATCTCGTCTCGCGCCGCGCGGGATGCGAGCGAGCGATACGCAGGAAGCGCGCGCAGAGCGTCGTCCGCGAACGCCGCGTCCGCGTCCGACATTTCGCCGGAGGGTCTCGCCGGAGGGAGCGCGTTGAGCGCGTCGGCGGGCTTCGTCGTCGTCGTCGTCCTCCTCCTCCTCGCGCCTCCGTCTACGCTCGTGGTTTCCCCGCCTCGCCGCGCGACCTCGCGGGCGCCGCGGTTCTCCGCGGCGACGAGGTGCGGCCGCTCGCGCTCGCGCGCGTCGTCGTCCGATCCCGCCGCCGCCTCCGTCCGTTGACTCGTCGTCGGTCGGCTTCCCAAGTCGCGGGAGTCGCGGGAGTTATGGCCGTGCGGGACGGCGTCGCGGTGGCACCGCGCCGCGAGCGCGGCTCTCACCTTCTCGAGCGCGTGCGACGGCACTTTCGTATTCGGGCTCGCGCACTCCACGCTGAAGTAGTTCGACGCCATCCCGTCCGGAGTCGTGTACACGTGCGCGTGGACGACGCGTAAGTTTTCCTCGCTCAACGCGTTCGCGACGTCACGCAAGAGACCTACTCTGTCGGGGATTTCCATGTGTATCTCCGTCGCGTGGACGTCGCACGAGTTCAGCTTCAACCCGTCCCTGCAGACGGAGGAGATTCGCGGCGAGCTTCTCGCGCTGTCGTCTCCGGCGCGGACGGCGTCTTCGCCGCGACGCGTGCGCTCGCCGACGTCGTCGAGCTCGAGCGCGCCCCGGAGTGACTCCGCTAGACGCTTCGTGGAGCTCACTTTCTCGCGCGTCGGCGCGTCTTGGACGAGGAACACCGCGGAGGCCGCGCCGTCGCCCGCGGTCGGTCGGTCGGTCGTGTCGACGTCTGCCTCCACGACGTCCACTGCGAGCGCGTAGAACGTCTCGAAGATGTTCGAGAGCATCGCGACGTGGTCCGCGGATTTCACTTTCACTGCGCGCGGCGTGGTGATCGTGATCGGGGCTCGGGGCGGGGCGCGTCGAGAGACTGAGCGCGCGCGCGGAGGAGAGGAGGGGAGACGCGGTAGAGACGAGCGAACGATCGATCGCGGCGCGCGCGAGGAGACGCGCTCAGGCGGTGACGACGCGCCGCTCGTGCCGCGCGCTTCGCGTCGAGCCCGCGCGGCGATGAGAGAGCGTCATCGCTGATGCGTCGCTGGGAAAAAAATAGAGTTTCGGGTGTCGCGCGCGTCGCGACGGCGCGCGGCGTCCGTCGTGGCCCGCGGTCGAGTTCAGATCGGACGCGTTCAGTTCAACCGCGCTTTCGGACACGACGCACCTCTCACGACCGTGCATCGCTCGTGCGGCTTGTTCGTGACCTCCACGCCGGGATCGCAAAGATGCACGAGGTTCGACTCGATGATGCGCGTCGCGAACTCGTAGCTCGCGGAGCTCCGCGCGCTGTCCGTGACGTCGCCGTCCGCGAGCGCGCGGCTCCCGACGAGTTCGGACATGTTCGCGGAGATACGGAACGAGTACGAGTGAAGATACGGTTCGTCGCCCCCGCGCGGTCGGTCGCGACGACGCGGGTCTCACGCGGGGCGCGACGCGACGACGCGCGCGGACGCGGCGTGAACGGCGTGCGAGCGCTCTGGTGGGTCGCCGACGAGGCGGCGACGGCGCGCGCGCGGCTGACGACGCGATCGGCGAGCTGCGCGTCCGACACGCGCGCCGCATTTACTTTCGTAGATCACATGTTTTGCCCGGATGGGTTAGAGCTCAGTCTTTTTGTACAGTAATCAGATACACACACGTAACGTACACGCGTAACGTACACACGTAACGTACACACGTAACGTACACGTAACGTACACTGCGTTGTACTCGTAGGAGGTCTAATTTTTTTACAGATATGATAAAGACCTGTACGTTGTACTTTGTACTTTCGAGAGTACATGCATGTACAGTTGTACACGTACTCGTACAGTAATTGGACGAGAGTTAGAAAACGTTACACCGCGTTGCTCGGATCCTCCCCCTTCGACTTCTTCTTCGACGCCGCGCGCTCCATCTTCGACGCCTTCTTCGACGCCGCGCGCTCCATCTTCGACGCCTTCTTCTCCAACTTCGCCGCCTCCTCCGCGGCCTTCCTCTCCGCGTTGTGCCTCTCCGCGGCCTCGCGCTCGGCCCTCTGCCTCGCCTCGAGATCTTCCTTCGACGACGGCGTCGGCACCAGAAACATCATAGGTCCGCTCTTCGGCTTCGGCGGCGCCTCGACCTCGACGCGCTCGCGATACGTGCTCTTCCGCCCGCAACAACTGATGATGAAGATCGGAATCAACGTGATCCACGTCATCGCCGCGAGCTCCGCGTTCGCGAACGCGAGCGACAGCACCGTCAGCACGTCGTTCTTCGTCTCCTTCTCGCACGCCTGCGGCGTGATGTCGTTGGTCCACGCGCACAAACCCTCTTCCCCGAGCGTCTGGTAAATGGTCGTGAACTGCGCGACAACCTCCGACTCTTTTTTCGCGGCCGGGGCCGCGTTCGCGTACTTGACGTAGATGCCGAATCGAGGGTCGTTCTCTAACGTCAGACCGGAGCCGTCGAACGACGACTTCCACGCGGTCATCTTCGCGGAGAAGTACGCGTCGAAGGACGCGTAGGGCGCGTCCCACGTCTTGACCCCGTGCTTGCAGTTGTACGCCTGCCCCCAGTCGTACCGCACGTCGCCGACGGTGCTCGTCCACTGGCACGACGGCTCGCAGTCGCTCGTGCACCCTCGGTACCAGTCGAATCCGGGGAGGGCTTTCCCCCACGGCGCGAACCGCACGGGTTGGTCGAACTGCAAGCGACGGCGCGCGCGCGAAAAAAAATCGTCGGTCAGTTGAAAGGGGGAGCGATCGAGTGTTGAAACCGAGAAGGTACGGGTGAAAAAACGCGTGTAATCAGGTGTAATCCATGTGTGAACGTACCGGCGTGCTGTACGTGTTAGCATTGTACGTCGTCGTCGCACAAGCCCCGCGGGCGCACCCGTCGTCGGGATAGTTGTTGAACGTCCCCGCCCCCGAAACCAATTGCGAGAGGTCGTTCAGACCGGAATTCTCGACCGTCGGCGCTTCGAGTTTCGCGACGCACTCCGCGTACGTCCACGGCGGAAGCCCCGCCGTCTGCGAGCCGTACCGCGCCGTCGCCGTCGGCTTGCACGTGTACCCGTCGAGCTCGTACCCGTCCACGATCGTCATCTCCGTGAACCGCTGCGCGTCGTAGATGACGTACGTGAAGTAAAACGCGAGCGCGCCAACGACTACCATGCCCATGAACGCCGCGAGGACGATACTCGGTTTGGAGATTAAATCGAGCGCGTTGAGCTCGTAAAATTTCTCGGGCACGGGGATGCGCGACAACCACGTGCGCTCTGGTTTCAACGAACGAATCGGTTGCGTGCTCATGCGGTTCCGTTCCGCGATGAAAATCACCGCGAGGTAGCTCTGGATGGCGTAGATTAACTGCGCGAGACCGAACGCGAGCGCGAGCGAATTCAGGAGGTTATTCACGTCGAGGCCGTACCAATTCTCATGGCATTGGTACGGCCCTTGTTCCTTCGTGTAGTCGCACAGTTTATCCCCGATGTGATCCGCGATCTTCACCCATGCGGCGATCGCTGCGGCTTTCGAATCGTCCGACCACGCGGTCGACCGAGATATGTACACGTTCGCGGGAAACCCGGCTTGGCGCGAGAACCACTTCTGCGTCGTCCCGCTCGCCGTCCACGCTTTGACGCCGAAGCTCAGCAAAGTGTTCGCCGCGATCTCGGTGGGCTCGGTCATGTCTTCGAGATACGACCCGGGAATCAGCTCCAAAGTGTTCCACGGATTGCTTTCGGTGATATAAGCATCATTCTCCATTTCCGTGAACGGCATCCACATGGAGCTATACACTCGAGTCTTGCTGGCGTCTTCGCTATACCCATCATTAGTCTGGAACGCGACGGTGGACGCGCTCGGGGGCCTCTGCTTGAGATCCTCCACGCACTCATCGTACGAGTGCGACGTCATGAAACCATTGTGCGAATCCGTCGGAAAGCATTCGAAGTCTTTTAACTCGTCTTTGATCTCGTACTCGCGCGTGAGAACTTGGGTATAGTTGACCTCGTTTACTGCACTGTAAAAGTAGAAGAAGAACAGAAATGACCCCGCGGTGACGACGAAAATCACCGTCGTGAGGACGCTAGCGGTTTGGTCCCCCGTCACTAACGTGAGGTCGTACCGCTCGTTGTACAGCTCGGGGGGTAACGGCAACCGTTTCACCCAGCTTTTCGTCTCCCCGCGGTCCGTCCGCTTCCCCATCAGGATCTTGATGAGCGCGATCGCGAGGAAGGTGTACAGCAACGCACTAATATTATTCGCGAGCGCGATGATCGTGAGCCAATGGTGCCTCTCGGTCTTCGTGCACAGGTACGGCCTGTTCTCGTACGTGTAGTGACACACGTCGCCGTACGTCTCCATGACCTTCTCGAACATGGCGACCCAGGTCGCTTTGTACGCGGCGTCCAAGGTGTCCGTCGTGCAATCTATGCCCCCGGTCATCGCTTGCACGGTTAAGGCATCCAGATAGAATGACCCGCCGGAAGGCGCGCAAATGCCGACGAAGTGATCGCCGTCTATGAGGTGGATGTACTTCCCCGTCGCGAGGTTCGCCGCGGAGTTCACGGCGTCGTCGTCGGTCCACCCGCCGCGATTGTCTTGGATGAACGGGTCGGCGTCATGAGACCCCTCGGACGACCATTGCCACGAGAGGTACTTCGCCTGTAAGCCTTCGTTGTTTTGCGTCGCGAACGGGTTGTAGGAAACGCTTCCGTATCCGTCCCCGACCACGATTAGCGAATCATCGCCCTTCCACGCGTTCGCGAACCTCCTGGCGACCGCACGCTTCGTAAAGTCGATCGACTCCTCGGAGACCGGGCGATAGTTGGCCTGGCACTCCTCGTAGGTGTACGTGTTTCCGTAGTGCTCGTCTGGGGACAGCGGCTTGCAGTCGTATCCTGGTTTGGACCACTCATGCGCGGAGACGAGCGTGTGATTCACCTCGATGTTATAGTAGAACCACAGGCCGACCGCGAAGGAGATCACGACCGCGGCGTATAAGACCGCGGTCGCGATCCCGATGATCCGTCGCGTGTTGATGAGCTCGAGGTCTTTGTAGCGGGCGTAGAATTGCTCCGGGACGGGGATCACGGCGAAGAAGATCTTCATCTTTCGAGGGCGGCCCTGGTTCTGCGTCGCGTTCCGAACGAGTCGTCGCGCGCCGTCGCCGCCGGCCAAGGCGATCATGGGCGCCATGACGATCGACGCGGGGTTGATCGCCATCGTCTTCGCGACGACGACGACGACGACGACGCCCGCGCGAGGGAAATGTGTGTGGATGTGTGAAACGTCATACAGTGTGACCTTTCGCGTGTAACAGTACGTGTACACGTGTACACTAGCTAGCTAGCTAGGGGAATACCTGAATAGGGGGTGGCAGATTTTTCAGGCTGGGTCCATAACCTACTTTTCAAATAGAAAAAAATTCGAAAGTACGAAAATACTCGTACTATTCAGCGGAAAGTACAAACGTACACGTACGCGTACGTGTACAGGTAGAACAGGTACAGTAAGTTGTTGTCTAAGAGTTGCTCGGTCCAGTCTAGCAGACTGGAGCGAAGCTCCTGTCTATAGACACAAGCTGTACGAACGTACTGCTATCAAACTTACCTGACTGTACACGTGTACAACCAACTGAAAGGTCGCGCGCGCGAGCGCACCTCGAGGGGCGGCGGACTCGGGAACGGCGAGACGTATTCGCGATGCGCGCGCGTCGAGCGCGACGCGAGGACGCCGCCGGGAGCGGACGCGACGGCGACCGCGGCGGACGCGACGACGCGGCGACGGCGGACGCGGCCGCGGCGCGCGAGGACGACGACGACGACGTCGGGCTCTTTCGAGAGTGGCGACGCGCGATGACGGCGCCGCGGGAGGACCAGGAAGCGTTCGGGTGCGCGCGCGTCGCCCTCCTCGCGACTCTTCCCGTCCCCCCGCGACCCCCCACCCCCGCGCGCCCTCCGCCGCGCGTCCTCCCGCGCGACGACGCCGCGAGACGCTGCCTTCAACCGAAGCGCCTCCGCGATCTGACTGATTTTTCAATTCCGCCCGTCCTCCTCCTCCTCCGCCTCATCCTCCTCCTCCTCGACGCGCGCGCGCGATAACGCGCGTTCGCCCCCGTCTCTCTCCGTCCATCCATTCATCCATCGCGTCCGTCTCTCCTCCCCGCAGGCGATGGCGCGCGCACCCGACCGCGCGGCGGATGGAGGACGTCCACGGCGCGTTGGTCCTCATCTTCATACTGTTCGCGTTCGTGATGGACCTCTGGCGGCACCCGTTCACGCGGGTCACGCTCAGGTGCGTTCTATAGAAAAGTTTTTCACCCATCGCTCGGTTTCAACATTTGATCGCGCCTCCTTTCAACTGACCGGTGAACTATTTTTGTATGGAACGACCCTCGTCAGGCTCCAGCAGAATTTCTTGACGTGCTTCGTCGTCAACGTCGTCGCGCTGTCGCTTCCGCTGCTTCGCGCGCGCGCCGGCATCGCGCCCGCGACCCGACCGGCGCTCGTGCGCGCCACGTACGTCGTCTTCGCGTGCACGATGACGGGGTTGATCGCGCACGTGGGGACCACGATCACGCGGCCGGTGCCGATAAAGTACCGATACTGCTTCAACGCGTACGTCGCGCTGTTCACGCAGGCGAGTGAGACTGGCGACCGACCGCTCCCCGCCCCGCGCGCGTCCGTCTCTCGAGGCGCTTCGCTTCGCTCGTTCGCGTCGTCGATTCGCGCGTCTGCTGTGAGCTGTGCCCTCGGTTTCGACGTTCGCTCGACCGCGGCGGCTCGCGACTGACCCTCTCTCGATTCCCGATTCGAATTCGATTCGAACAGCTCGCGTGGGACACGCCGCGGTTGCCTCGGAACGCGAGCGCGTCCATGAGCATGCCTCGGATCGTGGCGACGATTCCGACGTTCATGGCGCGAGTGGGGATATACATTCGGTGGAACGGGCGCGGGCCGTATCGATGTAATCTGTTGGGCGTGTGCTCGGGAACGCCGGGGCCGAACCATCTCGGGTTTCCGACGACGTGGCTCGGGTGTCTCTCGGGTGCGTTTCATTCCGTTTCGTTCCGTGTAGTTCCGTCCGCGCGCGTTTCGTTTCGTTTCGTTTCGTTTCGTTTCGTTTCGTTTCGCTTCGTTTTTCGCCCACCGCTCAACCCACCCCGCGCGCGCTGTAATCTCGACGGTCGATCGATCGCGCGGGTCCCTCCCTCACGACTGACTGACCGACGCGCGCGCGCTCTTTTCGCTCCCCGGAATCGAATCGAATCGCGTCCCCGCAGACGTCTCCGTGACCGCGTTCGTGATGACGCTGGCGGAGGCGAAGCTCGCGCTGTCGTGGCGGCTTTGGCGGAGGCAGGTGCGGAGGCAGGAGGACGCGGCGTCGGCGTCGGCGTCGGAATGTCATCGGGGGGGAGGGGGCGGCGCGAGGGGCGCCAACTGAGGGGTGCCAACTGATGGGTGCCAACTGAGGGCGACGAGTTGAGCGGCGGTCGCGCGAGTCGAGTCGTAGGTCGGTCGTCTTACTTGTATTAGTCATCTTATACGGTAGTTCCTCCGCGCGCGACGCGACGCGACGCGACGTCACGTCACGGCGACGGCGGCGGCGGCTGATAATACCCGTTGACGGCGTAGGCGTCGACCGCCGGCACCTCCCCCGCGGTGACGGCGTCGTCGCACCAGTCGTACCTCACGTGCGTCGCGTTCTCGCTGCCGGCGGCGGCGCACACCTGAGGGTCGTTCCGTCGTTCAAAGCGACGTCGGGGCGGAGTTCAGGGGTGCGTCAGTTGGAGTCGAAAGGCGTCGAGGTGTGTCGGGATCGATGAAACCGAGGCGTGGGCGGAGAGAAAGACACGCCGGGAAGAAAACTCCTTACGCGGTCGCGCGGGGACCGGCGTCAGATGAGATGGAGAACGCGCCTCCGCGTACGACGGCATGTGCTTATAGTACCCCTGCGTGATGGCGCTCACGACGTCATCCCTGGCGTCGTCGCTGAACCACGGCCGCGATTTGGTCTCCCCCGACGGGATCGAGCAGTCGAAGCACGATCGCATCTCCGTCACGACGGCGAGCGTCGCCGCCGGGGACGTCGAGTCGATCGCCGACGTCAACGCGTTGCCGAGGGTCACTCCGGCTTCCACCCGCGTCACGTTGTCGGACAGCGCGTTCACGGTGGTGAGCATGCGCTCCGCGAACTTGTGCGAGTATGCAAAGTTGATCTCCGTCAACGATTTGAGCTGCAGCGTCGGCGGGGGTGTCGCGACGTCAGTCGAAGAGAGAGAGTACAGTAATAGCAGAGCGTCGAGTCGCGCGCGGCGGCGCGGGGCGGGAAAGGAAGGCGTCTGAGAGTAGTCTACGAGTAAAGTCACGCGCCTGGTCGTTCGACGTTCCCGCGTACACGCCGCCGGTCGTCTCGATCGCGATGACGCCCATGAGGAGCACGAAGATCCCAAACGTCAGCGCGCACGCGGCGTTCGCGCACCCGCGGCCGCATCGCACGCCGAGCACGCGCGGAAACGCGTGCGCGTCTCTTCGCTTGATCGTCTCCGCGAGGTCGGCGAGCGCCGCGTGCCGCCGCCAGTCGTCGACGCCGTCGATCGTCATCTGCCGCGTCGCGTCGTGATGCGATGAGGTGGAGGGTGACGATTGGTGAGTGTTTGATGACGTGTGCATGGTAATCGATGACGTGGAAGAACGTGCGGTCGAGACGTGCGCGCGGCGAAGAAGGCCGAGTCGAGTCGAGTCGAGTCGCGTCGCGTCGAGTCGAGTCGCGCGCCTTCCACTTTTCCTCCCTCAGGAGCGCCTCGTCGTCGATCTGCAGCTCGTACACCTTCGACGCGACGCTCGCGATGAACGCGACGGGGATCGAGATCGCGAGCGCGAGGAGCAAGCACACGCTCGGCGCGGAATCCGGGCCCTGGTAATCGGGGTGGAGTTCAAAGGCGGGGTGGAGTTCAAAGGCGTCAGCAGCGGAGTTGAAAGGCAGGCGTCGCGGTGTGTCGGGATTGAAAGCGAGGGTTGGGCGGAGAGAAACGCCGGGAGATAAAGTCCTTAAGAAACGACGTTCACCACGCGAACGCGGTCGTATGGGAACCAGCGTACAGAACGCGCCTGGTAATCCGTCGGCGTCGTGAACACTCGCGCCGCCGCCAGCATCGCCGCGGTCACTGCGAAGCGAACGACGAACGGGATGGGTGAAGAACGCGTCGGTCAGTCGTGCATCTCACCGGTCAAACAAAACGACGTCGAAAGCGAAGACGGACGGCGCGGGGGGGAGAAAAGTCCTTAAGGAACGGCGTTCACTTCGCGAACGGGGTCGTACGGGGACCAGTCTCACCGAGCCCGACGACGGCGAGGAGCGCGTGCGCGAGTAGCAGCTCCGTCCATCGCCTCTCCAGATGCTGCAACCGCGAGAGGTGCACGCGGACGCGCAGCCACGGGAGGTAGGCGTGACGGACGTTCAGGTACGGCACGTCCATGAGGTGCGCCTCGGACGGGTCCGCGCACGCCGCGAAGAGCCGCGCGCGGAGGTAGTGCGCGTAGCACCGCGACGTGAGGTACCGCGCGATTTTCAAAAAGATAAACGCCTGCGTGGGTGAAGCGATCGGTCAGTCGAACGTCTTACCGGTCAAACGTAACGTTGAAAGGGAAGCGCGGGTGAAGAGTGACGACGGGAAAAGTCCTCAAGGAACGGCGCGTGCCACGCGAACGGGGTCGTACGGGAAGCGGTCTCACCGCCGCCGTCATCCAGACGACGCCCGCGCCGACGACGACGTGCCCGGCCGCGCTGTTCGTCTGGTCGTCCTCCGTCTTCACGAGCGCGAGGTCGCCGACCTCGCTGCCGTCGTCGCCGACGGGCGGGGCGGCGGACTCGGCGGCGAGCGCGTCGACGTCGGCGTCGTCGCACCGGGTGAGGCCGATCATGTCCATCACTGAGGGTCGTTCCATACAAAAATAGTTCACCGGTCAGTTGAAAAGGACCCACGCGATCAAATGTTGATACCGAGCGGTGGGTGAAAAACTTTTGTATAGAACGCACCTGAGGGTCGAGGGAGGGTCCGCGCGAAGCGAAGCGAAGCGAAGCGCGTCGGGGTGGAGTTCAAGGGCGCGTCAGATGGAGTCGAAAGGCGTCGCGTAGGCGCGTCGGGGGGATCGAAAGCGGCGAGGGGTGCGCGGAGAGACGCGCCGGGCGGGCGAAGTCCGTCCGCGAGGATCGGCCGAAAGTCCTTGAGGAATGAAGTTCACGACGCGAACGCGGTCGTACGGGGACCAGTCAGCGCGGGGACCGGTCAGCGCGGGGACCGGCGCGGTGAGGAAGAACGCGCCTGACGCGGGCATGACTTGGTCCACGCACACGGTGGATCGCTCGCGACCGCCGAAGACGGCCTGGCCGTGGACGCCGCGGTACGTCGCCGGCGCGCACGCGAGCGCGAACGCGACGAGGAGTAAGAAGACGGTCGGCCAGAAGGAGAGCTTTTTCGAGCCGAAGATTGGCGTCTCCGCCGCCTCCTCCGCGGCGCGGCGAACGACGGCGTCCGCGACGTCCTTCTCCGAGACAACCTTCAGGACGTCGTCGAGACCGCGACCGCCTTCTCCGGGTAGTTTCGTATGCGAACCGTCACGACGTTTCGCCTCCCTCGCCGCGTCGTTTCGCGCGGCGGCGACGGGCTCGACGCGCAACCCGTGGACGGCGGCGGCGCCGCCGCCGCGCGCGGCGAGCGGAAACGTCGTCGTCGTCGCTCCGACGGTCCCTCCGACGATCGCGCCGCCGACGCCGCCGTCGTATCGCGCCGCCCCGCGCTTTGACGTCGGGACGTTTCGTCCGCGCTTGCCCACGACCGCGCCCTGACCGTTCGTCGCGCCGCCCATGGTGACGTTACGCGCGGCTCCTCCTCCGCGAAGGATTCCGGTTTCGTCGCCGCCGCCGCCGCGATCGCTCGCCGTCGCCGACGCCGTCGCCGACGCCGCGCCGAAAGGGTGCGCCGCCGCGGCGTCGTCGCCGCCGCCGACCGCCGCGGACGCGGGGCGCGGGATCTCGACCGGCCGTCGCGCGATGTTCGCGCTCGCGCTCGCGTCGACGGGAGCCCCCGCCGCCTCCCTCGCCGAGTCGTATCCCATCGCCTGACCCGCCGCCGCCGCGGACACCGGCCTCGGCGCGTTCGCGTCCGCGACCACCGCGACCGACGACGATCCAGCGCGATGAAGATGAAACGGCGCGCCGGTTCCGATTCCAATTCCGATTCCGATTCCGCCGCCGCGATGCCCGTGCATCCCCCCCGCGCCCGCGGCGGACGCCTCCGCGCTCGCCTCTCTCGCGTCCCTCGCGGCGTTTTTTCGTCGCTCGCTCACCGCGTCCGTCCGCGGGTGCCGCTGCACGATCCGGCTCTCGCCGTCCGGCAGCGCGACTCGACCCCCGGGGAACGCGTGCGACGGCCGAAGCGCCCCGCCGGCGGTCCTCGACGGGTGCTCGCGCGTGCCCTCGCCGACGGCGGCGACGACGCACGAGGCGAAAAACGACACCTGACGCGCGTCGGATCGGTCGGTAACGGTCGGTAACGGATCGGTATCGGTCGGTTGAAAGCGGACGCGCGCGGTCGAACGTCGAACCGAACCGAGGGAGGGGAAACGAACGCGTCGCGCGGCGCTCGGTCGCGCGGGGAGCGGAGCGGAGCGGAGCGGAGCGGTCGGGCGTGGAGTGGAGTGGAGTGGAGTGGAGTGGAGAGACGGCGGCAAAAGTCCTTAAGGATCGGCGTTCACCACGCGAACGCGGTCGTATGGGAACCAGTGTATAGCGCGCACCAGCATCGTCGACAACAGCGCGGGATACAGACAATCGCCCATCAAATACTCCGGTCTGTACGCCGCGTAGACGGCGACGCACACGAAGCCGACGCACCACAGCGGGGCGACGTAGAGCACGACCGCGAGGGAGTCGCTGAACGGGCCGCGATACGCGCGGAGGTTCGGAGGCAACGCGAACCGCGTCAGGAACATCGCGCGCGCCGTCGACGGCAACTTGGACGAGAGCGGCGCGAGCAACGGCAGAAACGCAACCTGTAGGACCAGCGCGAGCCATGAAAACGGCCAAGACATGGACGTTATCATCGACGGGAAGTTCGGCGCGCTCAGCGGGTCCTTGCTCGTGATCCCGTACACCGCGAACGACGCGCCGACGCACCCTTTATCGAGCGCGCGGCGACGCGCGTCCGCGGCGTATTTGTCCCACAGTTTCCGCCACCGTCCCTCCGCGAGCGCGCGCGCGAGCTGGTCCACGTCCAGCGCGTCCGCGATCGCGACGCGTCCGCTCCCGGGCTTTCCGGACTGCAGGCAGCATCGATACAGGCGAACGATCTCTCGCTCGTCCACGCCCTCGGTTTCCAATCCGCGCCGCACGAAACGCTTGAAGTCGTCCAGGTCCACGACGGCGACGTCCCCGACCGCGCTTCGCGCGACGGCGGCGCATCGCCGGCGGTTCCGCCCTTCCGCTCGCTTCCTGCGCTCGCGGACGATGGCCCTCGCGAGCGACGCGCGAGCCTTCTCCGCGGCCTCGTCTTCTCGCCGTTTGAGCTCGTTCGCGGCTCTGCGCTCGTCTGAAGAGGGACGGAAGTTAAGTTCGTTCCGTTCCGCGCGTCAGTCGGAGTCGGTTTCGTCGCGAGACGTCATCGCGCGCGATGGGATGGGATCGAAAGCGGCGAGGGGCGACGACGGGCGGAGTAAAACGCGCGCGGACGGGCAGAGTGAGTCCGTCCTCGAGGATGTGTGAGCGTCCACAACGCGAACGGGGACTAGCGCGTGATGAGACGGGACGCGCCCGACTCGGTCTCGTCGACGTCCAACACGTGCTCGCCGGCGCCTCTCGCGGCGTCGGCGTCGCCGTCGTCGTCGCTGTCGTCGTCGCTGTCGGACGAGGACGAGGACGAGGACGAGGACGACGACGACGACGACGAGGGCGCGTCGTCGTCGTCGTCGTCGTCGTCGAGGACGTCGTCTTCTTTTCTTCGCCGTCGGTTTTTTTTTTTCTTCCCCCGCCCCTTCCCCCCTCGCGCGTCCGCCCCCCGCGCCGGCGCGAACTTCGCGTCCGCCTCGCGCGCGATGGCTTCCAGGACCGCCGTCGGCAGCGCCTCGAGCTCCTCGCGCGTGTTCGCGTTCGCGTATCGTCCTCCTCCTCGCGATGAGGGGCGTCGCTTCCTTCCCCCGTCGTCGTCCGAGAAGACGCGGTCATCCTGCGTGATCATCCATCCCCCGCGCGGATGAGACTGCGGGACGTTGAAAGGCGTCAGTTGAAGTTGAAAGGCGTCGAGGACGGGGATTGAAAGCGGGGGCTGGGCGGAGAGAGACGCCGGGAAAAGTCCTTAAGAAACGGCGTCCACCACGCCGACGCGGTCGTATGGGAACCAGTGTATAGAACGCACCTGCGGGACGTTGGACGCGGGGGTGGCGGCGACGTCGTAGCGCGACTTTCGCCGATGGTGCTTGAACCTGCGCGATATCGGCCGAAGCATCGCGGCCTGGAGGCGGAGGCGCGCGGCGTGGGGGCGGCGGCGGCGGCGGGGCGGGATGGGGGGGTGGGGGGCGTCAGACGGAGGGAAAAGTCCTTAAGGAACGGCGTTCACCACGCCGACGCGGTCGTATGGGAACCAGTCACGACGCGGCCGGACGGAGGATCGTCGATTCGGTCGCCGACGCGCGACGACGCCAACGGCGACGGCGACGAGTGAACGGAAGAAAAACGTTCGCTCGACGGGACGCGCGCGGGGCGACGACGCGAGCGGGCGCGCTGTCGCACCAGGACGCCCATGACGAGCGACGCGCGCGGGACGTGCGCCTCCCCCTCGCGGCGCGGCGCGGCGCGGCGCGGTGTGCGGCGCGGGGGCGCGCGCGCGTTCCGGACTACAGTCTGACGTTGGATTTTGTCTTTTCGTTGGTTCCCCGCGGCTCCGAAACCGAACCACGACAGTGATGACGGGAGGTCGGTCGTCGAGATTCGCGATTCGCCGGGGCGAACAGATATAACAGAAGCATTCGTCGTCATTCATTCTCTCCGGCGCGCAGCAGCAAGCCCGGGGTCCGCCGACACGCGCCGCCGCCGCGTTCGCGCCGCCGCGCGCCGCCCGAAGAACCCCCGCCCACCCCCCACCCACCCCCGCGCGCAATGTCCGGCGCGACCCCCGCGAAGGGCTACCGCCGCACGTGGACGTGGCAAAACCCGCGACTCACGTGGAACGAGCGCGAGAGCGAGGAGCGCAGGTCGTTCGGAAAGGCGTGGAAGATGAACACCGCGGTGGGCAAGTCGGACCCGAACTCGTGGGGGTCGCTCACGCCCGCGGAGCTCCGCATGCAAGCGGCGCAGGACAACTCGGAAGACTTCCGGACGCCGTACTACGACCGCGAGGTTCAGCTCTACCACAGGTACCATCGGAAAGGCGAGGGGAAGGAGCACGCGCCGCTGAATCCGGAGCCCGGGCCGCTGTGACGCTGTGACGCGACGACGCGACGACGCGACGACGCGACGACGCGAGCGCGGACGGGGCGACGGCGGCGCGGGAGCGGGCGACGCGAGGACGGCGCGCGCGCGAGACGGCGGGAGGACGACGCGGAGGATGGATGGAGGACGAGGGGACGCGCGGGGAGCTCGACCGGAATCGTGATCCGGCCCTCGGGGGGAAAGGAAAGGAACAGAAGCTCCGCGAGAATGCCAAATCGGGACGATCTTTCCGAGCGTGCTGTAGTCTTATCTGGTGTCGAACACGAACGGACGACGGACGACCGTCGTCGCGCGCGCGCCGTCCGCGCGCCCGCGCCCTCTTCTCTCGTCGATCCATCCCGTCCGACGCCGTTCCTTCAAGTCGCGAATAGAGACGGACTCGTCTGCGCGCACGCGTGGTCTCGCTGATAGATTAGATTTATTTCAACCAGCCGAAGAACCCTCCAGAGAGGTGCGTCCCATACACTGGTCCCCGTACGACCGCGTTGGCGTGGTGAACGCCGTTTCTTAAGGACTTCGCCCGGCGCATATCTCCGCCCAGGGTCCCTCGGTTTCAATCCCGACACACCTCGACGCCTTTCAACTCCACCCGACGCCTTTCAACTCCACCCCGACGTTCGCCTCCCCGCGAGCGTCACCGCCGCTTCCATATCGTGAGGTCGTCACGCCGCCCCGGCCAGCACGGCACGGCGACGACGGCGACGCGCTCGAAGTCCCTCGCGACGCGCGCCTGAAACGCCGCCGACGTCGTGACGCCGTGCGGCCGCGAGACGCTCCGCGTCCCTCGCGGCCACGACTCGGACGTCGCGCCCGCGCCGATTACGTTTTCTAAGTCGTCCGCGTCGGCGTCGTTCCCTCCCTCGTCGTCGTCGTCGTCGTCGTCGTCGTGCACGCTCGTCGCCGCCCACTCCCCGACGTGCACGAGGACGTCTCCGCGCCACGCGCGAAGGCACCGGTCGTCCCACGGCGCCGCGTCGTCGTCGTCCACCTCCTCCTCCACCTCCTCGTCGTCGTCGAGACGCGACGACGGCGTGATCAACAGCGCCGCGTTCGCGCGCGTCGCCGCCAGCCTGAGGGTCGTTCCGTTCAAAGCGACGTCGGGGCGGAGTTGAAAGGCGTCAGTCGGAGTTGAAAGGCGTCGCGGGCGGAGATTGAAACCGAGGGGTGGGCGGAGAGATGCGCAGGAAAAAGTCCTTAAGAAACGGCGTTCACGACGCCGACGGGGTCGTACGGGGACCAGTGTACAGAACGCACCGCGCCACCACGCCGGCGTCCCCCCCGGCCCACGTCACGTCGTCCACGAACGCCGCCGCCGCCGCCGACGCGCTCACGCTCGACGGATCCACCGCTGCTATCACCTCGACGCCTCTCGCGCGCAACGTCGCGGTCCAGTACCCGTTCCCGCACGCGGCGTCGAGAATCGGGAGGTTCAGACGCGCGACGGCGTCGACGGCGTCGGCGCCGGGGACGACGGAGTGAAACGCGCGCGTCAGCGGCCGAAACGCCATCGGGACCCATCCCGCGCGAGGGTCCGCGGAGACACCGCCGCGCGAGTCGCTCCACCGCGCGATCGACGGCAGGGACTCCACCGCCGCGGCGTCGTGCAGCGGCGGCGGCGGCGGCGGCGGCGCGGCCGTCGTCGCGGCGCCGCCGGCGTCGTCCGCCGGGAACTCGACGTCCTCCATCGCCGTCGGCGCCATCGCCGGCCCTCGCTCGCCGCCTGGGTCCGTGATCGCATCGTGAGCGAGCGTGTCGGTCAGTCGAACGTCTTACCGGTCAAACACAATTGTTGAAAGGGAAGCGCGGGCGAATAGCGACGACGGCGGAAGTCCTCGAGAGACGAAAGAAAGGCTTTCGTTCACCGCGCGAACGGAACGGGGGGTCGTACGGGACGGGAAGCGGTCTCACCGCCCGCGTAGAACCACAGAAGACCGCACTCCGCGTCGGACGGCATCGACGTCGGACGAAACGCCTTGGTCACGACGCTCGGGACGGTGTCCATCACGAGGCGAAACAGCGCGGCGTACACGTCACCGTACGCGTGGAACGCGCGCGCGGCGACCGACGTCGGGTCCGGCTCAGGGCCGTTCTATACAAGCGAACGTCGGGGTGGAGTTCAAAGGCGTCAGTCGGAGTTGAAAGGCGTCGAGGGCGGGGATTGAAAGCGAGGAACCCTGGGCGGAGTGATGCGCCGGGAAAAGTCCTTAAGGATCGGCGTTCACCATGCCGACGGGGTCGTATGGGGACCAGTGTATAGAACGCACCTCCGGCTCCGGCTCATCATCTCTTCTCTCTCTTCCCTCGTCGCCGCCGAGATCGTCGAGCTCGAACCCGGCGTGCTCGAGCCACGCGTTCGCGACGACGCGGTCCACGAACGCCGCCGCATCGCGCGGCGTCGCGAACGCCCCGCGCGCGTCCATCGCCTCCGCGCGCGTCACCGCCTCGCGTTGCTTAGGGTCGAGGGTCCATACGAGCGAATGTCGGGGTGGAGTTGAAAGGCGTCAGTTGAAGTTGAAAGGCGTCGAGGACGGGAATTGAAAGCGTGGTGTGGGCGGAGAGAGACGCCGGCAAAAGTCCTTAAGGATCGGCGTTCACCACGCGAACGCGGTCGTATGGGAACCAGTGTATAGAACGCACCTTATCTTTGATCTTCGCTCGGATCGCCGTCCACTTGAGCATCCGCGCGTCCTCCTTCGCCTCGGCGTCGAGCGACGCGTAATACGACCCGTGCCCGCCGCCGCATACGCCGCCGCCGCCGTCGCCGCGCGAAGACGAAGACGAAGCCGAAGACGAAGACGACGCCTCCGTCGCGACGCGCGTCAGCTCCGCGGCGACGCCGCTGTTCGGCGCCATCTGAAGCGCGAGCATCAGCGGTGACAGCCCGTGCGCGGTGCGGTGCCGCGTCAACCCGGGCCCGCACTTCGGGCGCGTCGCGGTCGGCGGCTTGAGGAGCTCCTTCGCGATCTCGTGCGCGCCGTGCATGCACGCGAGGTGCAGCGGGGAGAACCCCGCGGAGTGCCTCGCCGTGGGATCCGCGCCGGCGTCCAAGAGCTCGCGCACGATCGCGAGCCTCTCGCGCGCCGCGGCGGCGGCGGCGGCGTCGCCGTCGTCGGCGTCGCCGCCGCCGCCGCCGGAGGAACACGCGACGTGCAGCGCGGTCCATCCCTGCGCGTCCGCGGCGTTCATCTTCGCGTCTTCGCCGCGCATTTTCGTCGCGCGGCCGCCGTCCCGCCCGCGGAGCCTTCGCTCCTCCTCGTGCTGCGCGTCGCCGGCGTCTGAGGGTCGTTCCATACAAAAATACAGTAGTTCATCGGTCAGTTGAAAGGAGACGCGATCAAGTGTTGAAACCGAGCTATGGGTGAAAAACTTTTGTATAGAACGCACCTAAGATGGCTCGCACGGCGGCGAGGGAGCCGCTCCCGGCGGCGAACATGAGCGGCGTCTTGCCGCGTTCGTACCGTTGGCACGGGTCCGCGCCCGCGGCGAGGAGGAGGGACAGCGTCGGGACGACCGAATCCGCGCCGCTTTCGACCGGTTTCGTCTCGCCGGCGGCGGCGCCGGCGCCGGCGGCGCCGTCGTCGTCGTCGTCGTCCTCGACGTCGAACGTCAGCGCGTTCAGGACCCCCCACAGGACGTTGTTCCCCATCTCGTCCCTGCGATCGACGTGCGGGAGATCGCCGTTATCGAGCACCGCGCGCACGCGCGCGAGGTTCTCCTCCCCCGCGCTCATTCGAAGCGCGAGCATGATGAACATGCGCGTCTCGACGCCGTCGCGGAGTTTCCCCACGTCGCGAAGGATCCCCGTCGGGTCGATCCGCGCGCGCGCCTCCGCGAACTCTTCCTCGCCGACGCCTCGAAGCGCCGCCTCGCGCGCGACCGCCCTCGCGGCGTCGAGGTCGCCGCCGAGCTCGTACGCGCGCGCGAGGCGCAGGAGGAGCTTCTTGAAGGCGCGCGCGTCGGACGCGACGCACGGGGTGGAGAGCGCGTCGAGGCATCGCGCGACCGCGAGGGGAAGGTCGCGCGTCTCGATCGCGCACTGCGCGGCGTTCGAGAGGAGCACGACGCGCGCCGTCTCCGCGGCGTACGACGTCGTCGGATCCGCGAACGCGGGCGCGAGCGTCGCGAGCGCCTCGTGATACGCGCCCGCGGCGTCGTCGAAGGCGCGGCGTCGGAATCGGTCGTTGCCGTCGCCGCGGAGCTCGTCCGCGCGCGCGAGCGCGTCCTTCGCGGGGCGCGTGAACAGCTCGCGCGTGGCGTGCGCCTCGACGCGCTTGACGACGACGTCCACGGCGAGCTGCCGGGCGTCGCGGACGACGTCCGCGCGGGGTTTCATCGCGGCGGCGGCGCGCGCGCCTTCTTCGTTTGTGAAAAGTGTGCTGTGTTGTTGACATTGTGAATATACTCAACACATTCTTGTGTACACGTACTCTGACCCGTACGTGTACCCGTACGTGTCGATGTCGACACGTACAATAGCTACACGTACAATAGCGAGAAAACCGTGATGATCATTTTCCCTGTCGAGTTAATCCCCATTTGCCCAGCGTCACCAACCTAAGCCATTCGGACTAGTACGTCTAATTGACCATTACATCGAATGCGCATACAGAATCATTTTTTTGTTCACATCACCAGGTAATCTACAATATAAACTTTCTCCCAAAGAGAGGGTATCCTACATCATCCGGTCTTGCTAGGTTGCTCTCAACCTTGGGCTTGATGACACTGCGGGATGTTTTGCCGACGTTGTGCTTCCAAACCTTACGCAACGCTTCGCAGAGTTCGGAGCATTTATGGGTAGCATAGAACTTGTTCATGCCCTCGCGACCGCGGTCTGTGCGTCCAAACACGTTCTTCCTGCCTTTCGTGCTACTGTAGTGAATCACCGGATCAGTCAGCTCGAAGCAAGGCGGCGACCTCGTCTGATCCAGGACACCCTGTAAGTCGCAAACCAGGTACTTCCTCCTCGAGTACTTGTACGAAAAGCACGAGAAAGCCTGGGGAATATCTTCGATGGTAAACTTGACGCCGCGGTGATGGTCCATCGCGCTCGCACTCTGCAGATTCCGACCGTCTTCTTCCGGGACGTGCTCCTCGTCGCTCGATTCTTCGCCCTCCTCGTCTTCCTCCACGATGGCGCCGAGGTTTTCCGGTAAAACAGTTGCGTTCAAATCCAGCGAAGCGAACCCGCCTTCGATTGATTTGCCCCCGGCGGCATCATGTGCCTTGCTCATGCCATCCACGTATCCGTTGTTCGAGTTCCACTTCTTGTACTTCAAAGGATCCAGCATCTTCTCAGCCAGAACGCCGATATCGCCAAATGCGTCGTCGCATAAACTTAGAACACGACACTCCAAGAACTCGATCCGCGGCGTGTTTTCCTTCACTCCTGGAATCTCTTCGAGTTTCCGGTTGAACGTCTTCGCGATGCGTGCGGCTATCTGTTGCGTCGAGCAGAACGTTCTGTGGAATGCGTGCTCATCGTATGAATCAAAACCATACGAGCCCAATTCCTCGACGAATCTGCTCTGCTTTGCAACCAACCACGGCCCCACAAAGCGGCCCGCACTGTCAAACTCGCGAAGCATGGAGACCAGCCTTTCAGCTCCCTCTCCAAACACCTTCCGTTTGTGGGCTATGCCAACAGCTTTCTCGTGCTCAAATGGTTTCAATGCGTCCCATTTACCTTGTTGCCTCGGGCCTCGAAAGTGTTCGTTGTTTCGGTACACTCTTCGATTGCCTTCTACCCATTTAGCCCTCCTGACGGCCCCAACCTTGTAAAGCCACCAATCTTCATCACGCGGCAGATTCACTTGCGTCTGCGCTAATTTGATCTGGGAGTGCGATTCTCGCTTCACATCACGAACGGTGCGATGTTTTGAGCCAGCCAATTCGGTGAGCTCCGTCTTCGTCGTCGTGAGGGTCGACGATAAGTTTGACAAGATGCTCTGAAGAGACTCCGCAGTGAGAGTGGGCTTGTGGAAAGTGGCCTGGCAACCGTAATCGGCGCAAGCCGTCGTCATCGCCTGGAGCGTGGAGAACTCCTCGGAGGGGTCCGCGAACCCTATGCTGCCCACAGTGAGCCTCCGACCGAAGCGACTCGCCAGTTCTCCGATGCGGGACGCCAACATCGTATCCCGCGCATCGACACTGTCCTTCATTGTGTACACCACCCCGCGCTTCAACTTTTGGTCAGCCGTCTTGCACTTGCGGTGCGGCTGAACGCGAGGCATCTGTTCGCTCGGCCTTCCGTCGGAGAAGAACAGCAGCGCCGTGGCGCAGCTTCCTTTCTTGTTGCGCATCAGGCACTGTTCCGCGAGATCGATGGCGGCGAGGTAGTTGCCGCCTTGGCTCGGCTGCGATTCCCGAAGCAGGCCGACAAGTTTGTTGAACAAGATCCAGTCCACGGGTTCGGCGTCCACAACCACCTCGCTGTTGTTCCTCATGCTCACGACGGACATCACGTCCGTGCTCTTGCGGTTACCCGCCTTGATCTCAGCCTCTACCCACGTCAGCGCGAGGGTGAGCCACACCGCGTCAGACCTCGTGGCACCTCCGTCCACGTCGGTGTTCCTCATCGAACCCGACTGGTCGACGACGGCCACCGTGTGCGAGGTCCAGGAGGCTTTGTTTCCGAGGTCGCGCACCGCGGCTCTGTGGTCTCGGCGCATGTTCTCCGTGATCTCGACGAGGGGCACGTCGAAGCCAAAGGCGGGAATCGGCCATGACGTGATCTCGTGCCTGCTGGTCTCGTCCGTGATGTAGACTATACCTCGGAAGGTGTACTTCCAGCATAGGATCCCTTTGCTGTTGTGACTCGCCTCCTTTTCTCCGTACTTGACTGCCGCCTGCAGGTCGCTCTTGGAGATGAGTCGCTCGCTCCTACGCTGCCGACCGTGCGCCGAGGACAGGACCGTCACGAGGTCGGTATCACTCGTGATGACCATGATGCCTACGCCTCCATGGAGTGGCGCTCTCCTCTTGGATTCATTCGGTTTGTCTCGGAAAGGTCCGATCTATCCGATCTATCCGAGAACAGAGTCATTTTCCGGAGCTCCACATCGCTGGACAGCTGGATGGACTGCTGAACCAACAACAGACCGTCAAAAGAATCTCCGGGTGTCTCATCTCGTGGTTGTTGGTTCGAAAAATTGGTGTGTTTGCCGTGATAGGCACCGCAATTTCACCCTATCGCCTCCCGGTGGCTATCCATAACCGACGGCACCGGGACTAGTCTTCTTAATTCGGTTATTCGGCTAATTGGGTTCTTATCTCGATGACGTTTAGGGTAAGGGTTAGCACAATTCGGCAAAATATGCAAAATTAACTCAAGGATGACCAGTCCCGTCCCCGCCCCCCCTCCCCCGTGCAAAATTCAGAAACGCCAAAAATTCGGAATTTCTGACCAACCAACTTGAAACTTTTGCTTTGACATCGTTCAAGGGCTAGGGCTACGTGTAGGGCCTACACGTACACGTACTTGTACTCGCCCATAACTACGTGTACAGTAAGCCTGCAGTTCAACCCTCACGGAAATAGAATACTGTACGTGTACGTGTACACGTGTACGTTGTACGTGTAAGCTTACTTCGGAAGAAAGTACGAAAGTATTATTTTCGAAAGTACTTTCGAAAGTACGAAAGTACTTTCGTACTTTCGTACAACGTTGTACGTGTACTGTACTTTCGTACTTTCGTACTTTCGTACGAAAGTAAAACAACTTAATACGTGTACACGTACGTACACGTACTGTACGTTCAAGGCGCCGCGCTTCCGCAAGTTCCTTAACCAGCTCGCCGATCACGGTGCGAGAGGTACTGTCCCCGCCGGCGACGCCGCCTCCGAGGCCGCGGCCGAGGCCACGCTCTCCGCCATCGCGAGGAGCAAAAGCTATTGGAAACGACGCATCATGGGCCACATCTCCGTCGCGCTCGTATCCGCCATCGGGGACCGCATCGCTGGCGCGCCCATCTCGTACGCGCTCAGAACCTCACGTGACTCTGAAAACTTCCACGCGGGCGCGGCAGCGCAAATCCTTTTTATGGAGCCTTGAATGCTCGCTTCTAGCTACAGTAGATCACATGTTTTACCCGGATGGGTTAGAGCTCAGTCTTTTTGTAATCAGATCTACACTGTAGTGTACAACGCGTTACCTTCGTACTCAGCTCGTACGAAAGTACTTTCGTACCCTCGGTACGAAGGTACGAAGGTAAACCACGAGACCGCGAGATCCGCGCGTCACTCCTGTTCGTCCAGCGCGGTCGCGCGAAGCGTTCGGCGCGCCGACCTCGACGACTTCGCTCGCGCCGCGTCCGACCGCGTCCGACCGCGTCCGACCGCCGCGCGCTCGACGTCGTCCCACGGGCGCGCGCGTCGCCGCGCGCCGCGCAGATCTCGAGCCGCCCGCGAGATTTAACGCCGCGGCGGTGTGCCAAGAAGAACTCGCCTCGCGATGTGCTCCGTGGACAAGCTCCTCATCAAGGGCATCCGGAGCTTCTCCCCGGAGAATGATCACGCGATCGTGTTCCCGAAGCCGCTGACGCTGATCGTCGGCAGGAACGGCGCGGGGAAGACGGTACGGCGCGCGCCCCCGCGGCTCGGACTCGAGTTTCGAATCTGGGCACCCCACGCGAACGCTCCCTCGCGTCGCCGCCCCG